TCTGCAGGTCTCACTGTGGCTGTCAACTGAGACACACGGAGAAGGTGATCCCTCAGTTATTTTGGCCAACACCAGGGATGATACATTCAGGAACTTAACAGCATGATGTTACACTTTCTTGCAACTTCCCTACCAAAACAAGGGCCAAGTTCTCTTTTTAAACTAATGAATCAAGTTTCACATTCTTTTAAGCAAGCTGGAGAGATTCACACAATAACACTGACAACAGTTCATTCAAACATAGTGGAGTCAGGCGGTGAGGGTACAAACATTTTCCTACTCAAACAAGGAACACCTTCATCATCTCTTTTTTTTTATTTTCTCAGAAGTGGGCTTAGTTTCCCCCTGCTTTTAGAAGTTTTCCAACAATATTATGGCAGGGGTGGGTGGTGGTGGGCACCAGAAATTGTTAAAACACTATAGCAAGGTTCACACAGTGGATGGTTGTTATCTAGAGAAATATGACAAGTGGAGATGAATGTTGAGAATAGTTTGTCAAATTGCAAGTACAACAGGGATATAAATTACAGATTATCTCTTTTATGTAAGAAATGCCTGAACGGGGAATTGTCCAAGTGGGGAATAGTCTGAGTGGAGGAATAGTCTGAGTGGGGAATAGTCTGAGTGGGGGAATTGTCTGAGTGGGGGAATAGTCTGAGTGGGGAATAGTAGGGGGAGTCTGGGGAATAGTCTGAGTGGGGAATAGTCTGAGTGGGGGAATAGTCTGAGTGGGGGAATAGTCTGAGTGGGGGAATAGTCTGAGTGGGGGAATAGTCTGAGTGGGGAATAGTCTGAGTGGGGAATAGTCTGAGTGGGGGAATAGTCTGAGTGGGGAATAGTCTGAGTGGGGGAATAGTCTGAGTGGGGAATAGTCTGAGTGGGGAATAGTCTGAGTGGGGGAATAGTCTGAGTGGGGGAATAGTCTGAGTGGGGAATAGTCTGAGTGGGGAATAGTCTGAGTGGGGGAATAGTCTGAGTGGGGGAATAGTCTGAGTGGGGGAATAGTCTGAGTGGGGAATAGTCTGAGTGGGGAATAGTCTGAGTGGGGAATAGTCTGAGTGGGGGAATAGTCTGAGTGGGGAATATAGTCTGAGTTGGGGAATAGTCTGAGTGGGGGATGTCTTTTGTTCCAGCTGGGACACAGGACCCATACAGCTGTGAAGACTTCATCAACTCTTTAATGATAAACCAACTGATGGGGGTTCATCCCCTTACCCTCAGACAGGTGGATGGTTTGTTAAACTTTCAGCAACTGCAGCTGCCTGTGGAGCCCCTCCTGGACTCCTGGGCTGGGGAGACACCCTGCACTTACAGCTCATGATCAGGCAGAGTAAATAGATTACTAGGGATCCCAGCCAGTCCCCCTCACAGCACTGAGTGTGCGAACCAGCAGTGATCAGGATCATGCTGATCTGAGTGATGATAATATTTACAGCACCCACAACTGGGACGTTGGGCACACAACTATTTGTGAAATGTAGGTATGAAGACCAAGTCATCTGCACACTGGCGAAAGTAACAGAGTTTAACTGCACTGATTGTGTAACAACCCTTAATTTTTCACTGAATATCTCTCTCCTAAAGACTCCCCCTTCCTGTGTCAAAGGTTACACCATCAGTAAACCCATCCGCCCTACCCCTGCCCCACCTCCTTGCAAATGCCCCTCCTCACTGCCCTTCCCTCTCCCCTCCCAGCCCCCACCCCACCTCCTTGCAAATGCCCCCTCCTACTGCCCTTCCTCTCCCCTCCCAACCCCCACCCCACCTCCTTGCAACTGCCCCTCTTCACTGCCCTTCCCTCTCACCCCTCCTTCCCTAGATAGCAGCTGGTTACATTATCTATCTGACAAGATAGCAATCTTACAACTACAAGTCAGAACCAATTTGGAAACCGAAAACCAAACTTCCTTCATTCTGCACTTTCCAAATGTGTTACTCAGTGAGATTTTTAGGCAATGGCCTACTTGGGTGCCTATCTGTCCTACAGAGAATTGTGGAAGGGTTCGAATGGTGAGTGATGTGAGACGACAGCCATATAAATACAGTATTGCTACTCCAGTATTCCCAGCAAACATCAGAGTACATGGTGGCTCAGCTTTCACAATTAATAAAACTTTAATAGATCAAAACTACAGCGGTCAATATTTCTTGAACCCTCCTGACCAAGGAACCATTGCTAGCTCCACCACACAACCTCTTCAATATCAACAAAGTGTGTGTAGTCTGGAGCTGGTGGAGGGTATTTCTCTGTTGTCAAACAACAGTTGAGCTACAACGGATCTCCAACAGTTTCCACATGCCAGCAGATGGTGAAGCAGTGCCAGGTGGTGATGCTTCTGTACTCAGTGTGAGGGAAGGGGGAACCGGACACCCCACTTCCTGGTTGTACAGAGGATGTCTGTCTGTTTGTCAACTTGCTGGGTGATAACTACCTCAGCTGGAGCTACCGGACAGCAGGGGCTAGGCTCTGTTTGTTGGGGCTAAGCAACATTAGGGGCTAGGCTCTGTTTGTTGGGGCTAACCAACATTAGGGGCTAGGCTCTGTTTGTTGGGGCTAAGCAACATTAGGGGCTAGGCTCTGTTTGTTGGGGCTAAGCAACATTAGGGGCTAGGATCAGTTAGTTGGGGCTAAGCAACATGAGGAGCTAGGATCAGTTAGTTGGGGCTAAGCAACATTAAGGGCTAGGCTCCGTTTGTCGGGGATAAGCAACAGTAGGGCTAGGATCAGTTAGTTGGGGCTAAGCAACATTAGGGGCTAGGATCAGTTAGTTGGGGCTAAGCAACATTAGGGGCTAGGATCAGTTAGTTGGGGCTAAGCAACATGAGGAGCTAGGATCAGTTAGTTGGGGCTAAGCAACATTAGGGGCTAGGATCAGTTAGTTGGGGCTAAGCAACATGAGGAGCTAGGATCAGTTAGTTGGGGCTAAGCAACATTAAGGGCTAGACTCCGTTTGTCGGGGATAAGCAACAGTAGGGCTAGGATCAGTTAGTTGGGGCTAAGCAACATTAAGGGCTAAGATCAGTTTGCTCAGACTGGGAAACAGTTGCGGACAGGCCTCCAACAGTCATATTCTCAGGAACGTAAAGTCCAGTCATAAATCCACAGTTATTGTACTGCATGCCACTGCCTTCAAATGTTCAGCCATAATAATCCCATCAAAGACATTGGTACTCTGGAAATCACATTCCTTAAATCCAAAACAGTCTCAACACACATACTTCCCATTAGTAGATATACAAGGTCCATTCAAACATCCCATACCCCTACACACTGCTGATCCCTGTCCTAATATGACGTCAATATGCCACATGTCATATATTTCGGTGTGATGTGGAGAGGTCCACAAACACATGCTTATGTGCTATCAGCGCTGGCAATCAGCTGTGATAAGCCCCAGTGCCACTCTACTGGATTTACAGCTGCTCTTTAAACAGTAGTGGCGGTCCAGGGACCCTCCAGAAGTCCCCCCTCCAGCTGAGCTGTCAAGTCAATCACACCACTAAACCCATCATATGTTTCCCTGAGATATACAGCTCAAGACAAGAGGTACAATACATATGTGTGATACCACTGACCAACTTGTAGCAGTGCTGATGAAAGCACTGTGTGATATATTGATGGTTTAACTGTGTGATATATTGATGGTTTAACTGTGTTATATATGGGTGATACCACTGACCAACTTGTAGCAGCGCTGATGAAAGCACTGTGAGATATATTGATGGTTTAACTGTGTTATATATGGGTGATACCACTGACCAACTTGTAGCAGCGCTGATGAAAGCACTGTGAGATATATTGATGGTTTAACTGTGTTATATATGGGTGATACCACTGACCAACTTGTAGCAGCTGCTGATGAAAGCACTGTGAGATATATTGATGGTTTAACTGTGTTATATATGGGTGATACCACTGACCAACTTGTAGCAGTGCTGATGAAAGCACTGTGAGATATATTGATGGTTTAACTGTGTTATATATGGGTGATACCACTGACCAACTTGTAGCAGCGCTGATGAAAGCACTGTGAGATATATTGATGGTTTAACTGTGTTATATATGGGTGATACCACTGACCAACTTGTAGCAGTGCTGATGAAAGCACTGTGAGATATATTGATGGTTTAACTGTGTTATATATGGGTGATACCACTGACCAACTTGTAGCAGCTGATGAAAGCACTGTGAGATATATTGATGGTTTAACTGTGTTATATATGGGTGATACCACTGACCAACTTGTAGCAGTGCTGATGAAAGCACTGTGAGATATATTGATGGTTTAACTGTGTTATATATGGGTGATACCACTGACCAACTTGTAGCAGTGCTGATGAAAGCACTGTGTGATATATTGATGGTTTAACTGTGTGATAAATTGATGGTTTAACTGTGTTATATATGGGTGATATCTGGGCAATACACAGCTGATACCACGGTAATCAACAAATGACCTACAGTGCAATATTTTTATCTTACTGTATAATATATTGATGACATTAAAGTCTAACAAGCAAATGATTCATATTGTGTAAAATAGAGAGCATATCTCAGATAAATCATGATGATGTCACAGTGTTATTTATTGATGATATCTATGACAAATCCCTGATAACATACTGATATCACTGTGTCACATACTGGTTACTGATGAAATCCCTATTACATATTGATATCACCATATCACATATAGGTAACTGAAATCCCTGCTACATAAGGATATCACTGCGTCACATACTGGTTACTGATCAAATCCCTGTAGACTAATGCTTAGTCCCTGAATATATATAATTTTGATAGTAACAAACAAGCCCATTTAAATTGAAAAGGAGCCCTAGGGAGACCAGAAATCTAGACTTGCTTTATTTAGGGCTTTAGCACTTTAGAGGGGCTTGGCTGTAGAGAAAAAAATGTGGTTCAGGGACAGTGAGACAGACTAAAATCCCTGCTACACACTGATGATATCACTGTACTGTAGTCGAGTTTCCAGACTTACATGTGTGGCGGCAGCTCGTATATGTTCCTGCTGCGGTATTCCTCGATGACGCTAGGCGTGTACAGCTGGAGGCGTGTGTAGGGGTTCATAGACACAACCACATTCCCAATGTAGGTCTGAAAACAAAACAATAACTTTCAAAACATGACATCCTTGTAGTGTCTGCAGGGATTGGGTTTCTTCACTAATGAACCAGTCTGAAAAGTTTCAGATTTTTCTATCCTTTCTAGGAAATCAGGGTCAGTTTTGAAAATTTATTACCAATAATTCAACTTCTAGATTAGTACTGCTACTACTAAATGGGAACAAATCATGCTTTAACATGTCAAATTACTGAAAGATAACTGACCAAATTTTTCTTTTCAGTGTTGGTAAAAATTATTTACCATTCATCATGAACAGCATGTGATAGAATGCAATTGTGTTTCATTTCATCTAACTCTAAAGCAGAGAAACCAAATGTTGTTTCAAATGCCCTTTAATTTGGTTCTAATTTCACGTTCATTAGTCTTATATACAAAAAGCCTGTTATGAAGCCATAAAACAAATGTTAAATATCAACAGACACATGTTTTGCATGTCCTTGTAATGTGATATGTTTGATATGATGTCTTAAGGTAACATGCATGTTTGCAGCCAACATCTGCGCATCAGTGATCTCATATGTGGGCATGCTGGTGCAGAGCTGCACAAACACTGATGTCAGCACAGAACAGCTACTTAATACAACTAAAGACAAATTGTTATTCCTCATCGTTATCTGTGGTTTACCAAGAAGACATCTAAACTTTACTTTTCTGTTGAAAAGCCGAATGTTTAATGGTCTGCTGTGAATACGCTTTATGGCCTCATTAAGTCTACATATCCTTATCAGTGTGATGTACTGGAGGAAGATACAAGGAGCCCGCCACTGGGAGAAGTCAGTTCTAGACACCAGTGAAAACACCTCGCATCACCCCTTACCTTGTATCACCCACTGTTACCTAGTTACCTCCCCGGACTGAGGGGTCTTACTTCCCAGGCAGAGTAATCCTGTACAAACAAGATAACCCCACATATCTCAGGGTAGCCGCAGATTGGGTCATGTTTATGTTGAACGTATTTATTATGGAGAAAGTTGAGATAGGAGGGTATACACTTACTTTTGTTCAGCATTCAAGACATTGCATGCTTGATATTTTTACATATATTTCATTATCAAATTCAATTCATTCATCAATGTTTGACTTTTCAAAGAACTAACCTCTCAGGAAAAATAGTCTGACACAAATACAGTTTCATGGATGCATTCAAATCGCACTGACACTGAAGATGTGAACATACCTAATAAGGAGGCAGAAGGGTTACTGAGGGTTGAAGGGTGATTCCAGGCAAGAGATACATCATACATAAGGAAATGTGATGATGTCAAGCAGAAACTTCAGGGTGAGTTGGTTCAAGAGCTGTACCATGACAGATGAGTACATGACATGTGGTACTCATGTACCTGGGTACACACATCACACACCTGATATATTCACCTGGGAACATCATGCAAGATGTTCCACAAGAGATACACCTCGGTACAGGTACCATGACAGATACACCTGGGTACTATGGTACATAGATACCTGACAACATGTACCAAGACAGACACACCTGGGTACTATGGTACATAGATACCTGATAACATGTACCAAGACGGACACATCTGGGTACTATGGTACAAAGATACCTGACAGCATGTATCAAGACAGACACACCTGAGTACTATGGTACATAGATACCTGACAGCATGTACCAAGCCAGACACATCTGGGTACTATGGTACATAGATACCTGACAACATGTACCAAGACAGACACATCTGGGTACTATGGTACATAGATACCTGACAGCATGTATCAAGACAGACACACCTGAGTACTATGGTACATAGATACCTGACAACATGTACCAAGACAGACACATCTGGGTACTATGGTACATAGATACCTGACAGCATGTACCAAGACAGACACACCTGGGTACTATGGTACATAGATACCTGACAACATGTACCAAGACAGACACACCTGGGTACTATGGTACATAGATACCTGACAACATGTACCAAGACAGACACACCTGGGTACTATGGTACATAGATACCTGACAGCAAGTACCAAGACAGACACACCTGGGTACTATGGTACATAGATACCTGACAACATGTACCAGGACCCCAAAACTGAGTCGAGTGATACCATTACCAAACTGTACTTTGTAACTGGTGACTAAACATCCACTCCACCTCGCTATCTCAACAGCACATAAAACTTTAAAGCAAACAATTGTGCAATCAGCAAGACTTTAGTGTTATATGCATGACATTGGCAGCGTACTGGATTTGTAACCTACTTTGCACAGTGGGAGGCCTGTGGGGTGATGGGTTACAGGTGTTGATTGGTTACATTTATGTTCCTAGTTCAGACACATAGTTCACCAGGAACTGCTGTACTTCAGGCAGGTGTTACTCAATTCCGATACATGCTTCCAAACTTGAAGAAAATAGACTAAGTCAAATACACAATGAGTACCTAAATAGGAACTCCTCGGCTAAAATAATCACTGTAACAGTGGAAAATTAGGACTCTCATATTTTCCTTCTGAGTTTGGACAGATTTGTTAATTTTATGATAACTTCAAAAGGAGAATGCCTCAAGGGCATGCAGTGTTCAAATCCCTGACCTGAATATTGCGTCTGAAGCAGACAAACCATATGATGCTCTTTCCCTAAAGATATTCTTTCACTTTATTTACCAGGAGCATTTCACTTTACCAGGAGCATTTTACTTTACCAGGAACATTTTACTTTACCTGGAACATTTTACTTTACCAGGAGCAGTTTACTTTACCTGGAACATTTTACTTTACCAGGAGCATTTCACTTTACCAGGAGCATTTTACTTTACCTGGAACATTTCACTTTACCAGGAGTATTTTACTTTACCTGGAACATTTCACTTTACCAGGAACATTTTACTTTACCAGGAGCATTTTGATTTACCAGGAACATTTCACTTTCACATGGTATGTTCTGTACTTACATATATCTGATCATGTTTGAACCGTTCTTCAAGATTGGCTATAAAAGCGTCCTCTGTCATGGGGTCAAGAAGGACAGCATCGCTGACACCTACGTTGTTCTCAAACACCGACAGTGCCCCCTGGTGTAACGCCATGATCTACTTCTGTTCACAGGCAGGACTGAAAGTAAAAAGAAAGAATTTAATGTCCATGATCAAAGATAACAAGTTGTCTGCCCCCACACAGTCAGACCTGGAGTAGCATCCTCCATAGTCACATCACCATGGTAGCCATGGTAACCATGGCAACTAAATGACCAAGTCAGGTCACCTGTTCCATGAGTGAGTGAATAGGGGTTTACTCTGAATTTATCAATATGCCATACACATTATTGCTGGGGATATCAAGAATGGGCTTTGTATGTGTGTACCCTTGCAGGTCTTGGGTGTGCCAAACCATAAGTGAGTGAGTTAAGATTTTAAGTCACATCGGCAGTATTTCAGCCATATTGTGACAAATGCAAGTTTATACATTTGTAACACAAAAAGTAAAATTATAAAAACCTTTCAATGTAGGACAGTAAAAACTACCAGAATAGCACAGATTTAGACATAAATCTAGTATGTAAACCTAAAACTGTTTTACTATTAAGGCAATACAACTCAAAAACATACAACATATAGACTGCCAACAACTGAAGGTAGATCACCATACTAGGGACCATGGGGACTTCCACTACTTTTGCTACCTGCATGGATCCTAGCTGGATTTACACCAAACACCCAAGCAAGCCATTCTTCACCATATAAGAACTGAGTACCTACATACAATGATTGGCACCTAATTCACAGGTCTTGAAGAGGTGAGACACATGTCATGGACATGGTCCTGCTGAGTTGCTGGAGAAGATACAAGTCTGACGTACTTCCAGCTGATATAAAACCCCTCTACCTAGGTCTGTGATAAGGTGCTCCTCAAGCTACCATTAATCACTACATCACCAATTACCAGCCCCAGTAAGACACTGAGATTGACCTCAGAGCCAAACACAGAGATGGCTAACCACAGACTTTGACCTCCTTTGGTTAAACGGTTGCTTTGTTTGAGTTTAGGGTGTGACATCACTTCAAACATTTTACTTTTATCAGAAAGAGTGACTCCAAGAAAGAGCTTCCAATGAACTCTGTGATGGAATTGCTGCCAGATTGAGCATTAAGTCAGAATCTCCTCTTTAACAAGATTCCTAAAGACTGGATGGAACGCAAACCTTCCCTTCATCAGCTTGCATAATGTTTTATATTTTCGTCTTAAGCAGGGCTCCAGATAAGTGTCGTATCGGCGTATGTACGGATAAAAAATATGTAAGATATGGTAGGAAATAATTTAGAAAGCATAGCAGATATGCACCACAGCAATGGTGTACGGTCTTAGAATCATTTACAGACGTATTTATCTGAAAAAGTATTGTTTTATTGTTTATTGACCTGTTTACACAAGAGTAGCAATGTTGTGGTGCATATATGAAACGAAACACAAGATTACTAGCTGATACTCCATTAAATTCCATTCAGTACTCTAAATGTACTCTTATTGTTTTCCAGAACTCCTATATTGAAAAATCAAGGTGAGGTGAGGTGAAATTGGGTTTTATGTCGTGCTTGAGAATATTTTGCTCATATGACGATGTACATGCGTGTGTATGTGTATGTGGGGCTGCTTGTACTAGCCCAGACTGAAGCTGGTTTTATAGTGCTAGCCCACTGAGATACCATGCCGCAGTGAAGCATGAATACCCCGCTCAGACACATTATACTGACTCCGAGCCGACCAGTCCTTGTTGTATCCAATAATGCCGAGCACCAACAAGTACCATATTTTAACGTCTTTTGGTACGACGCGGTCGGGGATCGAACCTCCGACCTTCCACTCTCCGGGCGGAAGCTCTAACCACTACACCACGGAGGCGGTCTGAAAAAACAAGGAGTACGTACTCCAGATCATGAAACATTATCTGGAGCCCTGGTCTTACGTATGAGAACATTTCAGCATGCATTACACTTGTTGTCTGGTCACGTATAATTCTGCATGGTAAACAGTGCAAAGAACTGTTCAGAGAAATACAAAATAATGGAAACTCATCTTTATTTCTGAATAATCTGGGGACTGGTTGCCTCAACGATTGTCACACACTTGAAGTTGATAAACAGCCATTTCAAAAAGAATTTCTGTTACATCAATCAAGTCAAGTGTCTTTGCCGACCTACATAATGTCAGGTAGGCAACTGAGGGTTCAAGATGAATTATGTAACAATTCAGCATCTTCAAAGAAAATATGCATTACAAGTTGAAACCAGGAGACAGAATGGCCATTGATGGGGTTACCATGGCTACTGAGTGAGTGAGTTTAGTTTTATGCCGCACTCAGCAATATTCCAGCTATGTGGCGGCGGTCTGTAAATAATCGAGTCTGGACCAGACAATCCAGTGATCAACAGCATGAGCATCGATCTGCGTAAATGGGAACCGATGACATGTGTCAACCAAGTCAGCGAGCCTGACCACCCGATCCCGTTAGTCGCCTCTTACGACAAGCATAGTTGCCTTTTGTGGCAAGCATGGGTTGCTGAAGACCTATTCTACCCCGGATCTTCACGGGTAACCATGAGTACTGCTGATCCAGTACATTAACACCTAGTCTCTGAAATGAACATATGTTACAGAAGCAAAAAAAAAGTTTTAGAATAAAACAAAATACAACAAGTGTTTGCCACTGATATGGCAATGTCCCCCGCCGCTAAAGAATCGAATATTTATAACACATTTACTACTAATTTTTTTGGGTCACATACAAGATGCCTGAAATGACTGGCGTCTGCATAATCCCCCAATGTAGGCTGTCGACATAATTGAAGACATTGGGTACAACAGTTCATGAGATAATGTGTTAACAAGAGTTTGAAAAGTGGTCAAAGTGTCATGGTCATCTTGAAAATAAGGTCAAGGTGACCAAAATCGACGGGTGTTTGGGTAATCCCCCAATGTAGGCTGTCACCAAATTTGAAGACATTGGGTACAACAGTTCATGAGATTTCGCGTTAACAAGAGTTTGAAAAGTGGTCAAAGTGTCATGGTGATCTTGAAAATAAGGTCAAGGTGAACAAAATCTACTGGTGTCTGGACATTGGTAGACTAATGCTTAGTCTCTGAATATATATAATTTTGATAGTAACAAACAAGCCCATTTAAATTGAAAAGGAGCCCTAGGGAGACCAGAGATTCTACAATTTATCTAGCTTGGCAGTAGGGAAAATAATGTGGTTCAGGGACTTGAGACAGACTAGGACATTGGGTACAACAGTTCATAATATATCGTGTTAACAAGAATCGGGACGGACGTACGTATTCAGCGGCGGAGTCAAGAGACTTTCTTCATTTCTGAAACTGTGGCAGACTTGACTTGTATGAGCTGTATTGGATACATTTGTTTCAGGGTCTGTATGACAGACCACTGATCCAAGGACTCAAGGAATTGACGGTTACATGTCTACCTGGGCAGAGCTAAGTACTGTTTTCCACACAAGACACATGATATACAGGAGAGGTCAGTTATACTCACCCTTTTAAACTGTTTATGAAATGTTGCCCTCCAAAAGGAAAGTTAACACAAACTGATTTAATCTAACCTACAAATTTATGAAAACAAGAGTCAATTTGCAACTGATTTATTGATGTAGAATATCCTAACTTTATGAAACTTTATACAAATCAATAGTATTGATGAACTACCACTCTAACAATGTCAGGGAAGTCATGTGAAGTTTCCTTGGTATCATGCAGAGTGAATGTTACATTGTATCCACTGATCAACAACACTTGACGGTGAAATCAGAAAATGATATAAAGCATAGCATGAACTACTTGTACCAACAAACCATTCATCAGTATCGTAGGTTATAAGTAACACCAAGGAACTTACACTGACAATGATCAAGATAGGCATCCAGCTGAACAAGGAAAACCTGAGAAAGATCTTCAGTGTTCAGAGGACCATCACTACAGTGCTGTAGATCCAGCACTTAAGGAAAGGGTATACTAGGAGTGAAGAATAATTGACTGTACAGCCATCTAGACTCTGTATATCACGGAACCAACAACATATGGCTCATCAGCTGCTTTAAAGGCCACAAGAGCAATGTGTTTTGGTGTGATGGTAAAACCAGTCTACGTCAGCCTTGTGGTCTGCATGAGTCTGACAGCACAAGCAACTCACCTGCAGCTCACGTGCACAACACAAGCAGCCTGCACAACACAAGCAGCTCCCCTGCACAACACAAGCACATACACAGTGCATCACTAGCAGTAGCACTCACAGACTTCAACTTTGATATTATGTGATCACTTCCTCTATGGCCATAACTACAAATCTGACACCCTGTCCTACTGGCACAACAGACCTAGAGAGACCTATCAGTTCACCTTCTCCAATCAGGATCTGGCCATGATCTGATCATTGTGTTCGTTTCAAAAACCTAGGTCAAGCTAGGAAGAAACAGTAACACTTTATCCAGTCTCAAAATAATGATCCATGTGTAAATATGAAGTGCATTGCCATATCTGACTTTGATATCGTGGAAAGGCCGACAACATGACATATTTACATAAGAAGTTGACAACATACCCAATGACAGATGAGTAAGTCAAAAAGATATTCATGACAGAAGATGTGCATAAATCAATAGAGCTTATGTGCTTGGGACCAGATAGTGTTACCACATACTGAGATCTCAGCACTGTATTCACAAGGCACTACACTGGGCATTCCTATACACAGGTGCAAAGATTCTTTAATTTAGAACTTCTATAACCACTGTGACAGTTGTTGCAATCATCCTACCAATGTGAAAACTTAAACACTTAGGGTTCACAAGAACACCTTAATATTCGTGTAATACTAACCAAACACAGGGCACCTACAATGGGAGAAGGGTAAAAGTAACTATTGTCCAACCCCTGATTTGTCTAGACTTGGTAATGTCCCAGCTGTTCAAGTGTCACCTCTGCCCCAGGAATGTGCATTGCTCCTGCTCCCAGGAACATGTGTAGCCCCTGCCCCCAGGAATGTGCGTAGCCCTGCCCCCAGAAATGTGCGTTGCCCCTGCCCCCAGGAATGTGCATTGCCC